GTTTGCTTCTGCTTTTGCTTTTGCTGTGTGTTTCTGCTTTTGCTTTTGCTTGTGCTTCTGCTTTTGATATTGCTTTTGCTTCTGCTTTGCTTCTGCTTTTGCTTTTGCTGTGTGTTTCTGCTTTAGCTTTTGCTTTTGCTTCTGCTTTTGCTTTTGCTTTTGCTTTTGCTGTGTGTTTCTGCTGTTGCTTTTGCTGTGTGTTTCTGCTGTTGCTTTTGCTTTTTGCTTTTGCTTCTGCTTTGCTTTTGCTTTTGCTTTTGCTGTTTGCTTCTGCTTTTGCTTTGCTGTTTGCTTCTGCTTTTGCTTCTGCTTTAGCTTTAGCTTTTGCTTTTGCTGTTTGCTTCTGCTTTTGCTGTTTGCTTCTTCTTTTGCTTCTGCTTTTTGCTTTTTGCTTTTGCTTCTGCGTTCTGCTTTTGTTGTTTGCTTCTGCTTTTGCTTTTGCTTCTGCTTCTGCTTTTGCTGTTTGCTTATTCTTTTGCTTCTGCTTTTTGCTTTTTGCTTCTGCTTCTGCTTTCTGCTTTTGCTGTTTGCTTCTGCTTTTGCTTTTTCTTCTGCTTCTGCGTTTGCTTTTGCTTCTGCTTTTTGCTTTTGCCTTTTGCTTTTGCTTCTGCTTTTGCTTTTGCTTCTGCTTTTTGCTTTTGCTTTTTGCCTTTGGTTTTGCTTTTTTGTGTAGCTTTTGCTTCTTCTGCTTCTGCGTTTGCTTTTTGCTTCTGCTTTTGCGTTCTGCTTTTGCCTTTGTTCCTGCTTCTGCTTCGGTTTTACACTTGCTCTTGCTTCTGGTTTTGCAATTGCAAAAAGGCAGCTTGAAGCGCTGCAAGTGCTGCTGCAAGTGGCCAGCTTTGTTTACTGCGCTGCTTGCAGTAAAGAGCCTGCGCCGGTGCAGTCCAATTGTGCCCTTTTTGTGAGCTACTCGAGGGTAAAATTTAGTAGAATCTAGAGGAGGAAGGTGCTATTCCAACGGTGCGTACCTTTTGTGAACCACCCGAGGTTAAGACTTAGAGGAGGAAGGTGCCATTTCTGCAGCGCGTGCCTTTTGTGAGCCACCTGAGGGTAACATTTAGAGGAGGAAAGTGGCAGTCAAACGGCAGACACCCGAAGGTAAAACTTAGACATTCCGACGGTGCGTGCCTTTTGCGAGCCACCCAAGAATTTAGAGGGGGAAGGCGCCAGTCCAACGGCGCATACCTTTTCTGAACCACCCGAGGGTTTTTTAGGGCCGGAAGGTGCTATGCCAACGGCGCATACCTTTTGTGATCTGGCTCTGCTGCTTCGTCCCCTCCTGACCTTTCTGCTGCTCCTGATGCTTGTCTTGCACTCCCAGAAAAAAAGCGCGAAAATAAGCTCAGAAAAAAACGAAAACTACGGACAATTTTCATCCTTGTTCAGTGGTTGCAGGACAGGACGCAAGAAGGTCACGCGGAACTCGTGACATAGGACAGTTTCGCGACGACTTGATGCAGAATTGAAGGTATGGGTAGGACATCTGGCTCCTGAGCTTAACCCGAGGTTGTGGCAGGATTGTCAGGCCTGGACCCATCATCTTTTAAAGATGAGTTGGGCCAAAGGTTTGTTCACTAGTAGACGGTGCCAAAGAACAGTTCGGTTTCGGCTTCTTGTCAGCTGCCAGTCAGGTCGAGGAGGAGCCTTTGAACGACCCTCCTCGAGCTCAGCTAGAGTCTTGACCCCAGGCTGTAGCTACAGCGCGGCTGGCGGGGTCCCAGACGAACACTTAGCCAAGTGAAGCGTGGGGCGAAGAATGTGCTGTCTGAAAGTGAAGACGAAGATGAGGTCCCGATTGATAATGCTGAAGGAGTTGAAGAAGGCTGTTGAGCGAGCTTAGTCGTTCGGCTCAGCAAGCTCGTGAGCAACATCGGCAGAAGAAAGGCGGTGGTATTGACTTTGGATCGGTCAGACCATTCCGCCTTGATTCTTCAGCCACTGGCAGTTCGTGCGCTGGTAGTAAAGCTGCAGCTTGTCAGAAAGTGACAGCTGCCTTGACTGAAAAGCCGGGGTTGAAGGGAGCCGGGCTCCTCCTCAGCTACAGCCACTTCGATCAAGACTTGGTAATTTAATTTCCCAGCCACCATCGCTTGGTAGGCAAAGGATCCTAGGCAGGCTCGGGTGCGGTGTGCTCTTGCGCTCGCTCTACTAAAAGTTTTTGTTGGAGTTGCCCCCACCCTGCAAACCGGAGGATGCCTGACCAGTCAGAGCAGATCGCTACTGGACCAGCTGATGATCGATTGTGATCGAACTGCTTTTGTGGAGGGTCAAGAACCGCGACAGCTTCCCTGAGTCCAAGAAGAGGTTGAACCAGCTCGCAAAAGCGCTTCTGAGCCGAAGGGTCAAAGTGACAGCAAAAGCCAAAGTGAGCAGGGAGGAGCGCAAGGGTCATGACAACTGAATACGCCTGCAAGCATTGCGCTGACAGTGCAACGCAGATGCGTGGAACCTTTGGTTTTGGGGTGTTGCCCGGGCTTGCGGTGGACTGAGTTCACCCTTTTCATTCCAAGCTCAAATCCCGCGCTTGCACGCAGCCCTGACAAAGCATTTTGGCCCCCGGCCCCAGTTCCCTGACATGTGTGCGTATGTGCGGCAGTCCAATCACAAACAATGCCACTGCAGCAGAAAGTTAGGAATCAATTTTCTAGTGTTCATTCAAATTCTGGATTGGTTGGCTGTGGGGGAACGCTTCAATGCTATTACGGTCTAAGAACAAAGCTGAATGGGCCGCAGTGCGATATAGCGCGCAGACTTGCGCCGCTGGTTGGTTCTTGGAACAAGCATGATCTTGTGGACTAGACTCCCATCAAAGGTCCGCAACAAAAAATAGAGATGTTAAATTTTCAGCGAGCAGCTCAACTGTGACGGAGCAGGCCGTGCGCGAGCATGATTGAAACGCCTTTTTGACAGCGTGCATTTTGCTTCGAGTCATCAATATCCGTACCACTAGCGCAGGCGTTCTACCTGGTTCTTGTTATCTTTGCTTTCGGCTTCTCAAATGAACCGACGTTTCATGCCAGCTTTGCAAGAGCTTCGCGCAGCCCAGAGGTCTAGGCGACGTTGTAATGTTGCGCGTGTGTCTCCTGCACTTCTGTTGGGTGATTGATTTCAGACTGGAGCCCTCTCCGTCTCCGTCTGTGATTGCGTCTGAGGCTTCCAGTGGCAGTGGCGTTGTGCACTTCCTGCCTGCTGTCTCCCGCAGCATTCTTTCTAATTCAGGAGAAGGGCATGACTGCTGACGGTTCTGAACTGCCAGAAAAAGAACGCGACGTGCGTCCATTGTGGGGGCAGTTTGTTCACAAGAAGTCAGCCCATGCACGACTGTTCATTCGACACTGAATATTCACACGACGAAAAATGGCACTCTCCGACTCGAAAAGCTTGCGACTCTGCTTCCCACCGTCTGAAAAAGCAATATCAACAGCAACATCTAAAAGAGCGTGGCCTTTTGAGGTTGCCTGCATTGCTTGGTAGCTGAAGAGCGCGCGGTGAAGCTGAAACCCAACAGTTTTTACGCGCGCAGGAATTGCCAGGTTGTTTTGGCATGCCCATTTGCGGAATCATGTTGTTGCGGACTCCCTGCCTGAAAGTTTGGTAGCCTTTTGGCTAACATATCCCAGCAGCCCTAGCAATTTCCGGCGGCGCTGGGGCACAATCTTTCGAGCCTTTGGAGTGCAGGGCTGGCGTCGACTCACCCCTGGCTCTCCTCGGGGCAAAGGCCGCGTTGCAGCGCATCAAAAAGGATGGGCTATCCAGGATCTTCTTTGGAAGACGCGACTCCCGCACTCAAACATAGGGACAACATCAAATCCCTTAGGCTGCTGTTGCCCTTTCAGATGAGAGCCTTCAGCAGCGCGCAGCGTCAAAGTGGGATTCACTGTCACTAGATTCGTTGTAGACCGCTAGAGCTTTGTGGAATGCTCAGAGAGGAACCGTTTTTTGAGAAATGGTGGCGTACTGCATGGACGCCGCTTGTTCCTGCCACTGCTCTTTGGCTTGCAAATTCTTAGGTATGTCTGTCATCAAGTCTTGCGGGGCCAACTCGGCAGATACCATAAGGGCGCACTAAAACCGTAGCAGAAAACAGGGGCCAGTTCCGCAGAAAACCAAGGCTACCCGGCTACTCATTGCCAACGCGAAAGGTTCAGGCATTGACGGCCGGCGTTTGACCGGCTCCAGGATCTACCTCGATGCAACACGGCACGCCGCGTTCACGCAGGCTCGTCTGAGAGGAAACTCTCTTGCGCGCGTTGCCTGTAGTAGCGCAGCGATGGCGATTTCGCCAGCAGCAAAGGGTTAGCCGGAGCAGTCTCAGGACTCCACAACTGTTTTGTGATTCTACAACTGTCTTGATTCCACAGCAATCTTGGGTCCTGACTTTCCAGTTTCAGAACCTCAGTCTTAGACTGCCAGTTTCAGAGCTTCAGAGTTTCAGAATCTCAAGTTCAGTATCCGACTGGTTAGTTTCAGGATGTTTCAGGACCCTTCTCTAACCCTCGTGAAACAAATGTGAGGCTCTTGCTCTGTGTCTCTTTCAACATGTGCAAGAGGGGCACCCTCTCTAGAAATTAATGCGTGTGATCGTGTGTTGTCACTGCATTAATTAAGCAGTCGATGATTCCTGCTTGGGTCCTGGATCAATGCGAGCATCTTTGTATGACATACCGTTGCACCCTCTGCTAGAAGCTGCAGTCGTGTGCAGGCAGGAAAAGGTACGGCAAATGGCCACGTATCTCCACTGGAATTCGAATATGCCGCCTATTTGTAGGCTATTTTCACGACAGGCAAGGGATACATTCCACGACAGGACACATGGACACATGAGACCAACACAAAGACGCAGTGAGGGAAATTACAATTTTTTGGTGCGTTTGGTTTTGGGCTTTCGTTTCAAGTTCTATGGTTATATTATATATATATTTATTTATTTGTTTTGCTTCTGGTGGATTTTCTTGTGTGCGTTTTGGAGCCTGAGCGCAGGTGCAGCTGCAAGTGCTGCTCCAGGGTGCTGCTGCAGGCTGTCCATGGCCGTGTGCGCTTGGAGCTTGGGCATTGGTGCCGTTGCAGGGTGCTACTGCTGCCCACAATTATGTTTTGCTATCTGGGGTCTATGCTGGCGTAATTGGTTGGATATCCCATGGTGTTCCGAAACTCCCTCGAGCAGTTCAAAGGCCCAAGAACTATGAGTTGGCCCAGCTCAGCATCAAATCTTAACTGAACTTCAGGCCCACTGAAACACGCAATGTCGCCTTCCGGACAAGCAAATGTAAATAAGTAGGGCCAACACGAAGCGAGGTGGAACTTGTTAACTCTGAGTACCGACTGCTTGAACCCCCACCATCTTCAAAAAACAATGCCCAACACAACGTTTTTTTGGCCTTGCCATCCGTGCATTCTGTGCCAGCATTCTGCACCAGAGTACCCTGCAGAAGTGAAGAGATTATTTTCTCCAAAGAAGCGGTGTGTGCAACTTGTGGCGTGCCTACCTGGACCTACAGTACCTGCAAATGGTCCAACCTGTTGATTACACCAATGTTCTGACTCAGCTTGGATCGCGAGTGATTTTCCAAGTTCTCTAACCACTTCTGCAAGCGTGGTATTGGACCTGCACTTGCAACTAGGTTGAAATTGGAACACGAAACAAAACTTGGTACAAACATCACTCATCTGAACAAGCGCAACGTAGGCTCCCTGACTCAATGCGCAACTATTTGCGAGACTGCGAGGAGCTGGAAACTCCAGACGAGCTCGAAGGTCACCTGATTCTTCAGCCAAAGTTCAATTTCAAAGTTGTTTTTCTATGTTGCACTTTCACACTAGCGAAGTTTTAGATGTATTTAGTATAGATGAACATAGTACGTCCTGACACGTGCATGAGTGTAGTGTGCATTCTGGGACAGTTTGAGGTAAAGGTATGGCTGCTACAAAACAACATTAGAGCTCGTTGAACAGTGAAGCCCGCACAGTTTGCTCTGGACAGACACATATCGTCCAAGCGTCCTTTCTTGTGCGTGTCATCGGCTTGTTTTGTTCTTGTGTCCGGTTTTTCCCTTGTCGTTTAACAAACCTCAAATCTGGAGACTAATTGGCTTTCCTTGTTGTGAGTTGGGATTCAAGTGTACTCTCCTGACCTCGGCAGCAAGGCGTCCTCCGTCCCCCCGTGCGGGTGGAGGAGCTAGCGATGGCTGCAGCTGATGCTGTTGAGGCCAAAACACAACAGATATAGAGAAGGCACACTTATGTAGACTAGACCCATGTGAGTTTCCTTCCTGTACAGGGCACATCTCTGCTTGAAACACCTCTTTTCTCATCAGAGCACTTGTACAATAGATGATCCAATGAAGCTCTAGTTCTCACAGTTTGGAAGGCCATTCAGGTCAAGGATCTTTTGCAATTTAAAGACTTGAATGTCCTTTTCCTGTCGAAGGCGACTTCCTTGGAAGGTGTCCGTGAACTTGGCACAAAGGAACTAGTAGGCTACAGTGCTTTGGCTGCAGGAAGCGAGCGCAGGTGTAGCAGTGTAGTGTAGTAGGAAGCAAAATGCAGCAAACTTGGAGAGACATGTTTGGATTGTTTTGGAAGTCTTGAATCGATCTCTCAGCCATTCTGTCCAGGCAGTTCTGACAAGACGCAGTAGATGCGGGAGTTTAGTTTCCCAAAGTTTTCGAGGCTGAGAACCAAGAGTGAATAGAAATAGAAATTTGGCACAGTTGTTTTTAGTGTTGTGAAGGCACTACTGTTTTCAACAAAAGTCTATATACACATATTTGCACTCATTTGACATGAGTAGACATCAGTAGACCTCCTCTGAATTCACTTTTCGCGCAAGGCGCCCAGCACGCCGACATGTACAGATGACCACAAGCAACAGAAGTGCGGATTCAAAAGCAGGGCAAAAAAGCCAGCAATTAGTCCTGCAAAAAAGAACATTTACGCAGCCTGGTCACGAGAACTGTCAAATCAAATCTGTTCAGAATCCAGAGATTTGATTGTTGAACCGGGATGCTTTGGGACTCGACTTATCAGTGTACGTCCGCTGTTTTTTGTGCGGAAGAGCATTCTTTAGGCCTCTCTACTGTGATGGTGGTGTGGTGGAGGGCACCTACGCTCCAACCAGAATTTGCGCATGGGAGGACGCGCTGTTTGCATGTGCTTCAGTGAGGCAGGTTGATGTTTGTTTGGCAATCAGCATATGCACAGCACGACAGTCTTTGTGAAATGTCAAGTGGTGACTAGCAGCGTGCTGCTCCGACGCTTTGCTCGTTCCTTGCAAGCACATGTTTGAGTAGGCAAAACAGTGACATAAGAGACCATAATATGTTCTTGAATAACATCCAAGACACTGGTTGTCGTGGAATCTGCACTCGCTTTAGCAGCTGAAGCATTACTGTTTCAAGTTGCATCTTGGCAGCATGAGATCAGGCTATGTGGCATATTTGGAACATTTTGGAAACGTGTTTCTAAGGGTCGAAAACGGTCTTACGGTGAGATCCTTTGCACTTTGTTCAGCTAAAATGTCCTAAAAGCTAGGAGCCAATTGAATGCTTTTGCGTCACCAGCACCTTGCAGCTTCCTGTCACCTCTTGCTGCTCTACTTACCTCTACCGCTACCTAGCGACTCAAGATTACTCTAGCTACTTGAGCTTTTTAATACCTGCGGCCTACTCCCGCCTCATCCTTAGAAAGTAAAACATATAACACTATATAGCTATTGCTATATCATGAAATCATAGTGTGTTATTTTTTTAACGCTTTCAAAGGTGCGACATTTACTTCTCTTGGCCTTTACAACCCTGTGAGGTCATGAATTGCCTCCGGGGCATTGCCACATTCTGCAGTCGCGGTCAAAAGGAAGAGGAGACACATCGAGACAGACAAGAAATCGACAATCGCAGAAAACTGCGTAATTCTTTTGACATGTTACTCTATTTTCTCAGAACTTACTCTCTGAGCAATCTTTGTCAGACAAAACCGCAAAGAGGAAGAGCAAGCTTTGACCAAGAATGCCTGCGGCCCAGCTAGTACATATACATATAAAGACAAATATAAACTTGTTTAACCACACGCAGATGGACCAACAAGATCAAGGAAAAAGGAGGTTCTCACGGCGCGCAGCAACACCTTTCCCATTTTTTCGCAAGGGCGATTCGCATCAAGCTGGGTCAGCTCAGTGTCGTGGCTGCATGGTGCGCGTTCAGAATGCCACCGGAAAGTCTTTCCATGTGTCAATGGAAACTGGTGGGCCACTTCACGTTGTGCTCATAGCAATACACTCATTCAGGAAGCACCAGGCAAGAAAGGTGTATAAATGTCTTTGTACTCTTTTGCTTTGAGTCGTACTTCAGCCCAGGAAGGAACTTTGCACAGTTGCGATTTATCCGGTGTAGTTTACCTCTGTTCATGTTTGTTCCAATGTTTTTGTGGCCCTTGACTGCTTTCAGGCCTGCACCCCAGGCCTGAGCACTGCGAGTAGTTATAATGACCAATTTGGTTCTAGGTCCAAGTGCTGGGGGACGAGATCAGAATAGACACAGGAAGTATATACACTATATCTATATGTATATACACAAAAATAAACCAATCAATCCGCTGCGTGGAAAAAGACATCACACCAAAAGTTGACAAGCCAAGCTTAAAAAAGAAAGAGAAGCAGCCAGTCAGGGTCTTTTTTCTCCATACATTTGTGCATAGCTTTGTTTGACAAGATTCCTCTGGGGCCTGGCAGGCAGCAGCCACACAGAAGCTGGAGCCAGCAAAGGCAGTGGTTTCCCAGGCATGGTTGAAAAGCCCTGGCAGCTTCAAGTAACCTTTCGTCAAAACCTTGTAAGCTCTCTTTTCAGATTTCAATGCTTGGACTATGTAAGGGTGGAACAAAAACTGTTCTCTTGAATAACATGTTTTTATTGGCACAGGTCACAGCAAAGCTCACATAGTAGCAGCACTTTTGCAACTCTGCAGGCTGAGGCCATGCCCAAGGTAAACGAGCCAACACCAGCTGGGCAGGCACAGCTCCGCTTTGTCTCACGGTTGAATATTGTTTCATAGCCCTGCTGACTCTCAGCATCCACACTAGAGACGTCGTGTCTCTTTGCTCAAAAAGAGAAGTCTATTGGCACCTCAGGCAGATTTGCCGAAGGCCCCAACAGCGCCGGCTGCCTCGGCCGCTCCAAAAGCAGCTGCATCAACAACGGCTCGAAACCAAGCAAAGTGCAGACTTGAGCAGCTTGGAGAGATGAAGTGGGAGATGTGTCAGGCAAAACCGACCCCTGATTCCGTGAAGAAGGCGCCACAGAGTTGAATTAAATTCGATCGGAAGCAGCCGCTGCCCACGCCCAAGCTTCCCGCTTAAATTAAGCCAGAAAGAATATGCCCACGTTTGGTTTGCTTTCATGTTGATTCAAACAATATCATCAAGGTCAGTTCAATGAATCCAATGAAAGGTTCCGTGCTTCTCTTCTGACAGATGCCCGTGTTGCGCCCCGAAGGAAGTCTGTCAAAAAGGAATCTTTCTTTAGCATTGGATGATGGGTGCTCTCTGATATTCTCCAATCCTTAGCAGTTTGAGAGGTTGCGAACAAGTAACTTGCCCGTTTGCTTGCTTGCTGGCTGTATGGCTGGCCTGCCTGCCTGCTTGCTTGGAGCAGAAGGTTTTCGTCACACCTACGTACTGTAGTCATTGTAGTCTATTTTACTGTACCTGTTGTTTGTCTTTCAGACTTGATATTCTCTGATCATGTTTATGTAATTACGGTCAATATCATTCAATATTGGCCGATTTGCATGAGAGAATTTGGCAACCTAACTGAGTCTTTGACAGGCTGAGTCGAATGGGTCTCAGCCCAAGAAGGCAGGCAGCTCCCTTCACAAGAATGCATAGAGATTCGAAATGATTCCAAGAAGAGTGTAAAAGAAGTCCTTGTCCTCGTGTGCAAAAGTGGAAGACTCTTTTCACGACTCGAAGCGACTTGTAAGTCGTGGTTGGAATCCCCGTCAAAGGCCTTGGGTTCGGGGTTCAAGTCCCCTCAAGTGCAAAGTGGTGGAAGATGTCTTAGGTACAAGGACGTAGAATGTGTCGAAGGACATTTTAAGAACGCCGATGAGTTACTGGGAGTTTTTACTGCTTTCAGTTGCTTCTTCTCAAAGAGAGGTCTCCTCGTAGAAACCTGCTTGTGCTGTTTGTGCGCAGTTTGCCGGCCTCGCAGCGCCAGGCTGAAAAACGCCGTGCCCAAGACGGCAAGTGGTACACGAAAGATGACTTTATCAAGTGCCCTTTTAGATAGCATCTATTCCAGATTTCTCTTCAGTTTGAATTGTAAGACATTTTATTCAATGGCCAGGTATTTTGGGAAGAGAGGTGGTGAAGACGCTTGGAGGTATGCTCAACGCTAAGTGACGGAACTTGGATCTGAGTTAACAGGATCCCCAGTGTCCAGCAGGCTGTTTTGAAGCTTTCTACCCGGAACAGCTTGCAACAGCAAGATGTGACATGCTTTGGGCGCACACAGTCGGCTCTAGTCCGTCCGCACAAACACTCAAGCTGCCAATGATTCAGCGAACCTCAAGCGAGGACCCAAATGCTGATATTTTCTCAGCACCTTGACAGCTTTGATAATCTTTCCAAATCAATTTCATTGCAAATTTAGGTGCGGCAATTATGATGATTTCTTGCACACCGAAGCTGGATGTGTTGGCACAGCTTTGAGATGTACCCCTGAGACATCCTTGAACAGCATGCTGCGCGTGAATGATGATTGGAGATCTCAGATGGTTAGGCGAAATTACGGTTTCGAATCAATGAATCAATCATTGGACCGACCAACCAACCAACCAACCAACCAGTTTCATGCCATTTCCCTTCTCTGCGGCCAAAATAGTATGAATCGCTCCTGCATGCTCTTCTCTTGTGCATCTTTGGCCGCTCTTTTGCAAGCGGCCTAACAGGCCAAAGATTGCAACTTCACCGGCCGCAGACGCTAAACAGACCATTGCAGCAAAAAAAGTGAGACATCGCAGGGTTCCAATGCAGAGAGTCGAATCTAGTCGGTCTAGTGTTCCTTTGTTGACCTTGTGAGGTGAATGAGGGACTATGCGACTATGTTTGTATCAATGCACTGTAGGCTTAATCACCAAGAGATCAGACAGAAATTGCTAGTGGAACCCGTACAGTGGCCTCGCTTTCTCAGGAGCTCTCTGGAATCAGTTCCCGGCGCCGTGTCTCGGTAGTTTCAGCTCAGCTGCCCAAGGCTTTTGCGCCTCAACACACACACACACAAGGGCTGTGCAAATTGCGAAAAGACATATGGCCTCACAGGCCCATGAGGCTTTCATCTAGCCTTTCTTGTCTCTTGAGGCTACATTCTACGACGATGTGGAGATTTGCTTGTTGCGCGCGAGGCAGATCGAACATGCTATTGTTGAGCTCTGGGTGGGCACCAAGATCCGCAAAGACTCGAAGATTTCTTGCCAAGGAGCTATACTCGGATATTCAAACACATTTGAGTGAGAGACAAACTAGACTAGTCCCAAATTGCTTTGTAAATCAAGCTAACTTTCTGAAGGGCAAATGAGAAGTGGTGTAGAGGGTGGGGGCTGCCGGCTTTGCTTTCGTCAAGTTGCCAACTTGGTTTTCTTTGCAAAACTAGCTGATGGTTTCACACAGAAAATAGACAGAGAGACAGAGAGACAGAC